GGCCTCCCAGAGAGCTAGGATTACAGGCGTGAGCCACCACGCCCGGCCAAAAAAATCTTTTTGATTGATGAAAATTGTACTACATTTATGGCGTACAGTATGTGTTGATATATGTATACCTTGTAGAATGGCTAATCAAGCTATTTAACATATGAATTACCTCACATACTTATCATATTTTGTAATGGGAATACTTAAAATCTACTCTCTTAGCAATTTTCAAGTATAAATATGGCTATTAACTATAGTCACCATGATGTACTATAAATCTCTTGAACTTATTCCTCCTAACTGTAACTTTGTGTCTTTTGACCAACATCTTCTCAATCCTCTCCTCCCTCCCCTCAGCCTCTGGTAACGTCTATTTTACTTTCTGTTTCTGTAAGTTTGACCTTTTTAGATGCCACATGTGAGATCATGTGGTATTTGCCTTTCTGTGCCTACCTTGTTTCATGTAGCACAGTGTCTTCCAGTTTCATCTTTGTCATCATATGACAGTATCTCCTTCCTTTATAAAGGATGAGTAGCATTCCATTGTGTATATGTATCACATTTTCTTTATTCTTCTGTTGATGGACACTTAGGTTGATTCCATATCTTGGCTATTGTGAATAATGCTACAATGAACATGGGAGTGCAGATATCTTTTTCTTTTTTTGGTGACAGGGTCTCCCTCGGTCGCCTGGGCTGGAATGCAGTGGCATCATCATAGCTCACTGCAACCTCAAACTCCTGGGCTCAAGTGATCCTCCTGCCTCAGCCTCCCGAGTAGCTGAGACTATAGGTGTGTGCCGCCACACCCGGCTAAGTTTTCTATTTTTTTTGTAGAGACCAGGTCTTACTTTTGCTCAGGCTGGTCTCAAACTCCTGGCCTTGAGCAATCCTCCTGCCTCAGCCTCCCAAAGTGCTAGTATTACAGGCATGAACTACTGCACCTGGCCCAGTTATCTCTTCGTCATACTGTTTCATATCCTTTGGATATATACCCAGTAGTGGGACTGCTGGATCATATGGTAGTTCTACCTTTTAATTTTTTGAGGAACCTCCATACTGTTTTCCATAATGGCTATACTAATTTACATTTCCCAGCAACAGTGTACAAGGATTCTCTTTTCTCCACATCCTTGCCAACATTTAGCTTTCATTGTTTTGGTAACAGTCATTCTAACAGGTGTGAAGTGGTATCTCATTGTGGTTTTGATTTACATTTCCTTGATGATTAGTGATGTTGAGTATCACTTTTCCTTCTGCTTGAAGGATTTCCTTTAACATTTCTTGCAGTGAAAACCTTCTGGTGATCAATTCTTTTAGCTTTTGTATGTTTGAACATTTTTATTCCATCTCTGTTTTGGACAGGTATTTTATCTGGGTGTAGAATCCTAGTTTGACAGTTTAAAGGTTTCCTAATACTTTTCTGGCTTGCATCGTTTCTGACAAGTCAGCTGTTATCCTTATCTTTGTTCCTCTTCCTCCTTATGTAACACGTCTTTTTACCTGTGGCTGATTTTATAGTTTTTTTCTTCTCACTGGTTTTAAAGCAACTTGTGATATGAAAACTTGATATAGTCTTTTTCATTGAAGTTTGTTAAACACTTGAGGTCTGTGGGTTTATAGTTTCTAGAAAATTTGGAAAAATTGTGGCCATTACATCTTCAAATGTTTTTCTGTCCCTCTCTCTCCTCTTCCTTAGGGACTCTACACATATATTAGGTTGCCTGATGTTGTCCTCCAGCTCAGCAATGCATTGTTCATCTTTTTCCAGATCTTTTTTTCTCTGTTTCATTTTGGATAATTTCTATTGCTATGTTTTCAAGTGCACTATCTTTTCTTCTGCAATGTCTAATACACTAATTCCTCAGTGTGTTGTGAACACTGCCACCTATGTGGCACTTCCTACAGTATGCGGTTCATTTTTAACTTGTGTCTTACACCGGTTACTAACTTCAAGCCTTTTTTCATGTTCCTTCCACCTGGAGGGTCTTTTCCAATCTGTCTCTTAAATTTTATCCATCCTTCAAATACCTAAATAAGCCTTCCTTTGTAGTGTCCATACAGAACTTCCTCTTCTAGCTTCTGTAGCATCTATTGCGTATGCCAGTTTGAGCACTTCCATTGTTTCCTATTTGGGTGTGTTTTTTAAGTGCGCACATATTTACACTTTGTCTTTTCAAGTGAACCAAAATCTTTGAGAGGTACGAACCATACATAAATAATTCCTTTGTGTATCTTAAGACATAGTAGGTACTTGAATAGGTATTTTTAAAATGAATGTAGAGATCATTAATTTCTGTAGACTGATGGAATCACTTAGTAAATTGGCACCTTGATCATCATGTTATTTTTGTTGCCCAAATTGTGAAATGGTACTGTTGGTGAAAAGCCTTGAAATAAGGCTTTTTGGGTTTTAAACCAAATTCTACCTTACAGAATATTATTGGGTCAAGGTTCTGAAGTATAGTTCATCTTATTTTTATTTATCACATAAAATGCTGTGCCCCAATTTCTACAAAATAATTTAATACAAGGGATGTCATATCAAATAATATTTCAACAGAAGCCAAGGAAATCCTGGTATCACATAGCCAGTGAACATAAACTGGTATTTATTTATGCAAACATTTTGAAAATTTCTCTAAACCTTCAAAAAATATTTATGTTGTCATGAACACATAAAATGGAAAATCTAAAGTGAATATCAAGATTTCAGTTTTAGTTCATAAAAAATAGTGAAGTAAAATTCCTTTCCACAAACACAGAAGAGTTGGCCAGAGTGAGAAAATGTAAAAAATATCATTTTCTACCTTGGAAAAGGCGTGAGGACTATTTTTTTAAAAAGTATTTCAACAATAGGAATTCCTATAAAAAGATTAAATTTTCTTGTCATCACGGCATCTTGAAATCCTACATAGCTTCACCCCTCGCCAAGTAAATTCAAAACACAGAAACTCCTCATACAGAATACTTTTGTACCAGAAAACAGGTAATTCACGTTCTGATAAAGAGCAAAAGACAAGTGCTTTATTATGAGAACTGTTCAAGTAAAATTTGAGTGTGCACCAGTGAAAGTGAATAAAGATTTGCATCAATTTTTTTGAATGAACACTAGGTTAAAAAGGGGCTACACAGTTTTTTTTTTTTCCCAAACACCACCCTTTGCTAAGGCAAAAATACACTTCATTTTAGAACAGAACTGTTACAGAAGAAAGCTACATCACAGTACAGTACAGAATGTGAAGTTCATCCTAGTCCGGAAGCCATCGTGGAATGGCACATCACCTACACTTAGAGCTTTCTAATGTAGGTTAGAATTACAGTATTTATCACAGCTTTATTTTTCCTTAAACTGATAAAATTTGAATATACTTTTTGTTTCTCAGGAGTGTGCAGATGGGGCCCATAGTTTGATATTACAGTAATTACAACATTAAATAACATTGCACAGTCAACCTCCAAGGCTAATTCAGTATAAAATAACAAGTATTAAAATGTACCTTTACTAGTGATTTTACATAGCATATACCACTGATTATGAAAGAAAAGTCGGCAAATGCCCAATTACAAAGCCGCACGTTTTAGGCATAATGATGTGGAATAAATACAAGAAATCTGGCAAAGTATTTAAAACAAATGTTACATGGGAGCCAACTGAACAACCACGTAAGCGTAAATCAATAATACACTGTTATAAATAGTTCGTTTTGCCCACAAGTCTCTTAAGTACTTACAGATATTACAATGGCAGGGGTCGATGAAGAGGATGGGAGGAGAATGAGGCAAATGTTCCCAATGCCAGTTAATTCCTGAGGTGGCATTATTTCTTAACTGATGCATTGATCAACACTGTAAAGATGAGTTTGTGCTATGAAACAGTCCAATAGTAGTATATTCCCGCAATTACACTGCGGTATTCTGAAGGCAGCAAACCTAAGTGACAGTTTACACTATAATAGTCAGATAAAGTATTGTTTCTTTTTAATTTTGCTGCTACAATTAGCAGTGGGTCAGAAAACACTTCAAAGTTCAAAAGAAACTTGATGGAGATTTCACTTTACCCCCAGTACTTCTTAGTTAGCTCAAGGCAAAGCTATTATTTATTTTCACATACTTTATTTTAAAAACTCTTAAGTGCCAACACTGTAAACCCTTTGTATATTCTCAATGAAACCTTGCTTGATAACAAGGATAAGAGCAAAAAGGTAAGCAGGAGTAATTCTGTGTATAATAAAGCTGATCTATTTATCAGCTTCTGGTTTAAATTTAAATATGATTTTAAAATAATTTTAAAAAGTCCATGCTACAATTGTAAAGACTATTTCTGTGCACTTTTAATTCTGGACACAATTTTCAAAATTGCAAGATGGAGGTAAGAATTTTAAAAACCCACCAGAATGTAAATAACAGGGAAGAACATTTTCAACTCAAAGCATCAAATGTACATTTATGTGCAGAAATCTAGACAACTATACAAGTTTTTAAGCAATCATGTTTTATTATACAACTCTATGAACAGAAATGAACAGAAATACACAATATACTTACCTGTACATGTGAACCTACTTTTTAAGCTACAGATATTTATTATAGTTCATACTGACTTTAATTTTACAGTTCATAACTATGTATAACCTTATTGCGTTAAGGGCAAAGTCTACATGGGGAGATTCACAGGTGGACCACATTAGGCATTACCAGTACATTCAAAAACTGTACCTCTTATATGGATGTATCTTCCCTGATCCTGTAAATTTGGATTTCTTTACAGCTTAAGCTCATTTGCTATTTTGGATGCAATGTTCTTAAAGGCAATAGATGTCCCAGATATTCGCTTGAAGCGGACCCCATTAAGTGACAGCCGTGGCAACTTGCAGACTTCCATCTCCCACTGCACGAGGCTATCCTGTCTAGCATCTCCATGGACACAGAAAAGCAAAAACCTCTCTTTTTGTTCGTAATCACAGTTATTTGCATCTAATACTTTTCGGATTTCTCGCATCATGTCATTAGGGTCCATTGAGCTAGTGGTCTTCATACTCCACGTGAACCGCAAAGAACGCGGTTTGGAATCTTTACCCTCTTCCTTGTCTCTGTCTTTTGGTTCCCCTGACGTACTTCTGGAAAAAAGAGGGCAAAGGGAAAGAAGGAAAACAAAAATTCTACTCAGCAAAGAAATCAAAACACATATATAATTTAAGTGGTCATAATTCAGGGCCTAATAAAACTACTCAATTCGCAGACTATCCTCAGACACAAAGATTTACGTTATCTTGCCGTTACAAAAACAGATCCCAAGATGCCATCTGTTTTTACTTTTAATATCTTCAACCTAAAATAGCATATTTTCTTAAATACATTCGTGGGAAACAAGTATGCAGGTGAAAGTAAAGAACTTAACGCTTTTTTTCAGTTCTATTATTTCTCTATTCAAGTTTACAAAAGCAGATTCTCCATTTTATATAATATCTACATGTGGTAAATATATATAAATACAGATTCTCCATTCTACATATATGTATGTATACACATATTTGCAAAACAGGGACCACTAATATTCTGCTTGTAAATATACATTTTTGAAATATAGAGAAAAAATTCCTTTCTCCTGCCCTTTTTGAGAAGGAGGAACGTAATAACTACAGAGGGAAAGAGAATAATATATACCTGGTAATACTGAGAAAGAATGTTTTATTGCAATTATGAAAAGATGTCAGATTATCCCATACCTCTCAGTATCTTCCTGTGAGTTCTCATTTCACTAATGACATCTTGAAAATAGTCCATAGGCCTTCATGTGACCTACACTCCAACTCCTCCTCCCACCCCACCCCTGTTATTTTTCTTCTCGTTCAGTCCTATCAGAACACACTGGCTTCCATGCTATTCCTTGAACACATTGCTTAAGGCAGTTGTGCAGGCTGTTCCCTGTGCCAGGAACACTTTACCTCACATAGCTGCATGGCTAACTCCCTTACCTTTTTCAAATCTCTGCTCACTTTCTCCATGACGCCTCCCCTGACCACCCTACTGTACCCTGACTCCTACCCTTGCATGGCCATACCCCTCACCCTGCTCTATTTTTTTTTTATAGTACTTATCACATTCTAATATATTACTTGACCAATTTATTAGGTTTATTATTTCTTATCTGAATCTACCACTAGATTGTAAACTTCAGGAGGACAAGGAGTTTTGTCTGTTTCGTTCACTGACATATCTCAGGCATCTAGAACTGTGCTAGGCACATAGTAGATGATAAACACGTATTTGTTAAATGAATTAACCTCATTGGATTTTACTTATTGCAGGTATCCCAGAAATAATATAGAACCAGAAAATCTATTTCAAATAATTATAGGAAGGTGAAGTTAATAGATTATTCATGATAGAGAACACCCTGTAATTAAATTTGCAGAGCAATTATCCAAATACAGATGTTGCAATTTTAACTTGATAACCT